AACAGTTTAATAAGATAGAAAAACACCAAAGAGATAATGATAAACCATAAAGGGACAAGGATGGCTAAGGATGGAGAAGATTAACACGGATTACAAAGATCAAATTTGAAAAATTGAGGCTAAACTTTTCAATATGCACAAACCGTGACGTAGCTCCTTTAAGCAAACAACCTTCAACAGGTGACAAAAACAACATGAGAACCTGGTGAGTACCCTCACTTGACACAGTGTGACTCCCATCTTTGAAAAATCCTTGCTATGCCCCTGGGAAGCTACATGGTACAGGTTCTTTTGCAGAGTTGCCTGATAATTTCACTGGCCTTTAACTTTCCACTTTGTTCTGTAGTGTGTAGTCAACTAGTAAAGTGTGATAATGTTGTAGCTACATGTATAGTTTTTTAAACAACTGAGATTGTGTAGGTATCAGTATAAACTGAATGGCCAACATGTTCTGGCACAGATTTATGGTCTAACCAAAAACCCCAGTGAGGTATATATTTTTTGAAAGCATATTTTTGTTATCTATAATAAACTATTTTAGATTAAAATTAATTTATTGCACTTAAATAATTATACTAGCCGGTTACTGCCAGTCCTGCATGGGAAAGTGAGCATCCTACAAAACAAGGGGGCCTGTTAAAGGTGCCACCTCAAGCCACAGCAGATGGTGCAGACAATGAAGCTGAGGCAGAAGGAAACAAGCAAAAGAAGAAGAAAAAGAAAAAGAAGAAGAAAACTAAAGAGGCTGGAGATAAGGCTCAAGAAAATGCCTCACCAAAAAGAACTGAAAAGCCTATTCAGTTTGACCTTGGTGTCGTGCTTCAGACCATTTCAGTAAGAGTGTATTTTGTGTTTCTTATTATTCTCTGATAAAAGAGGACTTAATTTCCAGGGGGTTTACTTATGCCTGCCTGTAATTTGTGCTAGATGAGAGAAGGGTGAAAACAATCTCCAAGCCTGCCTGAGACTTGTATTGATACATGTATTTATCGTGATTCAGAATACCATGATACAATATGCCATGGATACACAGTGTACTAAATGCTCAGACTCGAGCATCTGTGGTCTTTAAATGTATAATTGCATATGATGCTTGTATAAGCTCAGAATTACTTGCAATTCTGGCAAGAAAAAAACAATTTTTGCATAGTGAACATTGAAAACACAATAATGATGGGGCAGAGAATTGATAAATGTTTCTTCACTGTTTTGTATTTCTTTTTGATTACAATCAATTGCAAAACTGAACAATAACACAATTGTGATTTGTATTACTCTAGACTAGTGGTACTGGTAAGAAACAAAGTAGTAAAAAGCATGTGATAGCCTCTGGTGTACTGCCAAATCAACTGTCAGCTGCTTCAACCTCTGAAGTTAAACCTAGCGTGAAGAATGTACAGTTGCTCAAGAAAGACGACAAGGTAGATTGATAGTTAAATATTATTTATATTTACTGCTAATCCCCTTCCACAGTGTAAGCTAAATGTACAAATGAAGGGTCTTAGTGTGTATTTTTGGAGGTTGTGCTCTTTGATACTGTCACAAGCAAAGAAAATGGAAGTACGATGTCTGCTACCAATGTACATATGCCGGCTTGCTTAATAGTAGCAACTGTAAGTCATAATACAATACCTGTAAATACGATACCTGTAAATAATGTCCATGGCTGTACACTGCTTATTGTCATTCTCGTCTGAAACAACTTGCAAAATTGTTTTGTTGCCAGAAAGCTTTGGTGTGATGATAATGTGATATTTAACTGAAATTATTGATGCTGTTGTTGTCTTTAGGTTCCTCATAATGTTCTGGATTCCACTGCTCCTGTTGTAAAACGTGGCAAAGAGAGGGAAACTCCAGCAAAGAAGAAACCAAGTGCTCTGAAAAAGGTCTCTAGAAAATAATCCATGATTAATTACACATTAAGTCTAGCCAAACACACACAACATATCAATCAACATTGTTGCACACAGCTCAGCTCGTCCAATCCTGTTGCATCATCCAACTTATTTTAACAGGGTGGCCTAATGTCTGGAGCACGTTGTGTGCAATAACATTGCAATATGTTGTGTTGAAATGTTGCATGCTTTTGACAAGCTCTTTACACAGGCAGTAGCAGTTTTTTGCTGCCTGCAAAAAACTAAAGTTGTCCATTTAAAATCTTTGATTTTAATTTATCTATCAAAACATTTTATATGTACTTGGTTTCTTGGTCAATTTATATGGTGAAGGTCAAGAGTACCTCTCTGCTATCATGTCAGTGACAAGTTTACGTTGCCAGATTACATACATGTTCACTGTAATGCCTGACTCCCGAAGATTTTATTACTGCATCAGCAATTTCTAAAATGTTTGTTTGCATGCTTTTCAATTTGGTTGTGTAGATCATTCTGAAGGAGAGACAAGAGAAAAAGAAGGCTAGAGAAGGTGAAACAGTAGAAACTGACAGAGATGATGAAATTTGTCAAGATGAAGAAAACAGGTGGGTAATGGGCTTGGACACCCAAAGATTTGTTTTTGTTGTTGGTTTTGGTTTTTACTGGAATGCCTTCTAGATGTGCTATTTTAAGGGACATTCAAATGATATTTCAGGGTTCATGGAACATATGATAAGTCAAGATCTTTTAGGGCATGTCACGCTGTAAGAGAGAACATGAGCTCTGCCCAAATTGGAGGTTGCATGAAATTTGATAACTAAAAAATTAGATATATGTTGTGAAAAGTGACCTGATCAACATGACACGAGTGTGGGACAAAGAAAAATCCGAGTCCCCAACAGGAATCGAACCCATGACCTCTTGAACACCAGACGGGCGCTCAATCCACTGAGCTATGATTACTCATGGAGAACGAGGTCATTTAACTGAGTTCGTGTATTTTACGTGTATGTTATGAGGAACCAAGTAATCAAACACAGTGTTGTAAGGTTAGAATTTTGTTTCTTCTTTAGAACATGTGAGCCTGGAGATGAGAATACTGTACATCAGGAAGTGCAAAGTCCATCAGAAGGTAGTGTATTTTAACAACAAAAAGAAAATATATACAGTGTACAGGTATATTGTGTGTTAGTTATGAACGTTAGTCTGTGGTGTGGCCATTTGTTCAAGAAAACCCTTATGACAAATCAGAATTGATACCACCTATTAAATAATAATTATTATTGTGTGAAATGGATGGAAATGGATATCACATAAGCTGCTTTTGTTGTTGTTTTGTTGCTGGTCGTTCTAGATGACACGGCGTGTTCGGAACCATCTTCTCCAACAGATCAAGAAATAGCAGCTGAGATGCACAGCCGCAAATTTAGAGAGTAAGATTATAATAATTATTATTATAAACTAAATATTATTGTGTGTTTTTTTGTAAAGAAATGTTTACACATGCATTATGTGTTTGCAGATTAAAAAATTAAAATTATATACATTTATCATATGGCTTTGGCTTGTGGCCGGTATAACGCGCGCTCTGATTGGCTAAGAGCGAGATCTGAGCGGTCATTATGCAGCCGTAATGCCCACGGGCCGATTACGGATTATGCAAATTAGGAAGAGCACGGTTCTGAAAATTCACGCGCATTGAAACGATGAAAGCCGATTAAAAACAGTCAGAGAAAGTAAATTTAATTCCGAGTAGTTAACGGTTAAGAGATTTTTCCTTAATAAAATTTTTATAGAAGTCGTTTTTGACCCACCAGTCGGTAAACTTGGCGGGCACTAGTGAAAAACCATCAAAGTTTGACGAGTCTTAAGTAAAGCTAAAATCGCTGAGTGAAAAACACCATCGGCAGATCTGTCATGCGTACTGAGCAGAACACCACGAAGAAACTTATAAGTTATCATCTTAGTCACAACAATTAGCGAAATATTGAACTCCGTCACAGTTCTCACCAAATAGATTCCCTCGCTTTAACACAAACAAGTGTAAATCAGCTTCCAGGATCATCAGATGTAAACAATCGGGCGGTTTTTTTGTCGGTTGCCGTCTTTCTGATAACTGCAAGAAGTTTTAGAAGTTCACAAGGCTTGAAAAGTTCATCCATAAACCCCANTCACTGACTGTGTAGTTTGAGACGATGAATGAATCGGTAAACGCGCGCATCGCCGGATGTAAATTGACAATTTCCGCTCGAAATTTTTTTTTTCTTTTCTTTAATTCATGAGCCATATAATAAACAACTTAGTAACCCCGACCGTTCGGTCGTTACGGGAAAATCTCAAACCTCGGCCTACCGTATTGACCTCGCTATCGCTCGGTCAATACGGCAAGGCATCAGTTTGAGATTTTCCCGTAACGACCTCACTCTCGGTTATTAAGTAGTCAGTATGCTTCAGTGGCATTGGCTTAGAGGAAGCCCTGTTAGGGCTTTAAGCTAAAACATAAATAATACTTGTGTGTAACACTTTTATTATTACAAAAATACAAGTTCATTTGCATGGTCAATTTTCACAGGAAATAGGTAAACTTTCCCCAAATATTGTTCTGTCCAGTTTGCGACGTCACTTGATCATCTGCCTCCCAGAAAATAATTTTGCCGATACATGACATTCTAGAAATGCACATTGACTTCCAAGTCATTTGCTGAAACACTTTACGTTTAATATTATTGAATTTCCAGGTACTGTTTCCAAGTTCCCGATAAGGAGGTAGATGCAGTTGCTACAGAGCTTCTGAGAGAACTCGTACGCTTTCAGGACAGACAGTTTCACAAGGATCCAGTTAAGGTGACTAAAGCAGACAATAAATTGACAATCAGTGCTTAGCACTTTGCTACTGGAGGATACTGTGAGTAGACAAGTCGTGTAAATATTCAAGAGAACAAAAAGCTGTTAGCCTCCTGGTTGGTAGGAGACAAACCAGCTGACTACATGGATGCAAAAGTACAGCTATGGAGTTGAACCTTATAGGTGCCCCTAATAAGCACCTCCTCAAGGCCATTACCCCCGCGAATTATGGACAAAAGAGAATAAGCACCCCCTCTCCAATAAGCCCCCTCCCCTGAGCTACCATAAGTAAATACATACATGCCTGAGGCGCTAATCAACGAATGTTGGTAACATACTTCTTGGTTATAGACTTCTTACTAACTAGTCAATTGCCACTGACTGTTTCAGTATTTGTTTTAACCCTGAGTTTGTGTTTCAAGGAAATAGGAACATCCAATTCCCCATGTACACCTACATGTACATCTCACAAAGCCCTTCCTTAGAATGTCTTTATTCATACAGCTGAATGTATAAATGTGAAAAGATAATTTGATCAAATTGCATACATACAGGTGATGATCTCTGAATTATTGTGAAATGTTATTCATGGGCAGTTAATAATTCCAATTTATTCCAACAGGCAAAAGCTAAGAGAAGGTTTGTCCTGGGTCTAAGAGAGGTTAGCAAACATCTGAAGTTAAGGAAGTTGAAATGTGTCATCATATCGTCAAATGTTGAGCGTATCAAATCTGCAGGTAAGCCAATATTGTCTAAATCAATCTATAGCTGGATAAATGAACAAAGGTACCCTGGCAAGTCAGCACTGAAAGGTTTATATGTACTGAGGTTGCTTGTTTAATAAAATGTGTAATAACAATAGTAATGTTTGTGTTCCACCTTAAATTAAGGTCATTTAAGTGCTGGTACAATTACTGTAGTTGGGAGAGTTCATTTACCATCGAAACACAAAGTTAGCCAGTATACATACAGTATAGTGCAAAACTAATAGTATGGAGAATACATACTAGTTGTGCAAGGCTTTCGAGTGATATACCATGGAACATACCACAAGTCACTAGTATTTTCCCAGCATACACAGTCTTTAGGCGAGTGTATAAACCAAGAATGTAAGAGTGACAAGTGGGATGTTCCAATGTATTCTACGAGAAAGCGTTGCATTACTATTTTATACCATGCCATAAAAAATACAGTGGCCAACACAGTCAAAGCAGAGCACAATGGAAATGTTGGGTGTCATACCGTCGAGTATACAACGGCTTTCCTGTATTCTGATTGGCTGTATTTCCTATGGCATGGTATAAAGTATGGTATAAAGACAAGGGGTCCACCCTACTGATACAGTTAAATCCCATGTGACAATAACGTATTTGATGTTATATCAATTAATTTTATTTTATAACAACCACAGACATGTTGACTGTCAGGGTGGAAATAATGTGTAAATGTGTTCAACAGGAGGTTTGGATGACGCCCTTGGTAGTATAATAACTTCATGCCAAGAAAATCAGATTCCAGTGGTGTTTGCACTAAAGCGTCAGCTGCTGGGCAAAGTGCTGTTAAAGAAGGTTCCAGTCAGCATAGTTGGGATTTTCAACTACGATGGAGCACAAGTGAGTAGTGTAGAATGAAGGGCAGCCAAACGAGGTGGTTTGTATCAAGATTGCTTTTGTGGGCCCTCCTCTCACCTCTCAGTCTTGACTGCGCCTTTTAATAGCATGTACATATTAGTGTAAGTATGTAGTATTGTAAGTAATGTATTTTATTGTACTGTTTAAAAAAAATTAAATGTCAAAAAAATAAAATAAATGAAAAAAAAAAATAACATGTGAGCTCTAAAATTCAAAGCTCAACCGACAAATGTGTTTTTCGCCACCGTCAATCAAATGCTCGGCAGCTCCTCCCAGCTTCCGACTACTGCCGAGCGCGCTGTAATCAAATCATTGAACACAGTTCAGACAACGAAACAATGTTCGGCAGTAGTCGGAAGCTGGGAGGAGTCGCCGAACATTTGATTGAGGGTGGCGAAAAACGCATTTGTCGGTTGATCTTTGAATTATAGAGTCCGCATGTTATTGAAAGGCCCAGTAATATCGCCCCGAACAATTCAGTGGCAAGTGCTATGAGACGGGAGTGCTACGTGTATGCGCGAGATTACAACANTGTATTTTATTGTACTGTACTTCCGACTACTGCCGAGCACGGTGTAATCAAATCGTTGAACACAGTTCAGACAACGAAACAATGTTCGGCAGTAGTCGGAAGCTGGGAGGAGTCGCCGAAGATTTGATTGACGGTGGCGAAAAACGCATTTGTCGGTTGAGCTTTGAATTCTAGAGTCCGCATGTTATTGAAAGGCGCAGTAACATCGCCCCGAACAATTCAGTGGCAAGTGCTATGAGACGGGAGTGCTACGTGTATGCGCAAGATTACAACAAATACATAATGATGCAGTATTTTTTGAATAAAACTGTTTTGCTTTTTGTCTGTGTCTTTGCCGCCGACATAATGTTGTTGATGTGTTTGTTTTTGATGTAGGAACATTTCAAAACACTCATTGAGTTGACACAGAAAACAAGGCAGGCCTACAATGAAAAATGGACGAAAATTAGGGAGAAACTAGAATTACAGCAAAAGGAAAATAAATCTATAGGTATGTTGGCTTTGCACACCGTAATGAGACAAAATGCCGTGGTAGCAATGTTGTAGGTGGTGTGCCCATGTGGGTATAGTTTGGAGTATATTCAGGCGCTACACCTGGTTTTGATCTACAGAATTCTAAGTTCAACAATTCAGTTATCACGGCATGTAAAATCAATAGCTAGCTGTTCAGCCTGGCGTTTGATAATTTTAAACCATGCTTGTTTTCTGCTGTGTTAGTATAGGACTGGTTGTTATTACAAGCATTCATCATAAAGGCATTACATCTATGTGATTTCCGCTAGTTATCTTTATATACAGTCGAACCTCCGGTTGCGACCACCTCTCGTAAGTGACCACCTAGTTTACCGAAATACCAAACGTTTCTAAATCAAATCACTATGTTTGGAACCTCTAGTAAGCGACCATCTGGGCTTGACATTTTGGGTGGTCGCTTACAGGACGTTCGACTGTATGTTTTTTTCTAAAATTTTAATAAACATACTTTTTCTTGTTTTCTAGTATTTTAGATTTGCTGTATTTATCTTATTATTTACATTTATAATTTAGATTGAGGGTCACTGGTTTATCAGTTTTTACTGTCATGTGCCACCTTCTTAAAATTTAGTTGTAACTTACCTACTATACTTTCAACGTGTGAGAGTAACTCATTTTCAATGAAGAGTACAACAGTGTCACTGGAGGTTTGAAGACTCTTGAAGAACGAACCTTAGAACATCCTGATGTTCTCAGTTTTCTTGCCAATAACATAATCACAAAAGTTCTAATGGTAAAAATAGCGTCAAACTATGAACAAATCAGGTGATTGATGTTCCATTTTTCTTTGTAATCATTTTTTTTTCGTACACCTCCCATATCTGATGAATGTAATCTGAACCATTAATTGCAAGCATAATAGTGTTTCACTCTATTCCCATGCTCTAGTATCAACAACTGAAACAGACAAGGAGCTTATTGCTGGTGGAGAGGAGATGAGCAACCCTCCACAACCTATCACGGAGGAAGATGCTGTC